TTCGAAGACTCTGGGCTTCTCTGTGGTTAGCTACATTGTGGAGGAAAAGTTGGGGGAACCCAACTAGACTAGAAGTACAGTTCTTCTACCCAGATCCTGGTCCAGAGTGCTGACCACAGATAAGTAGCTAGATTCTCCTTGGAGAATGTGTCAAGGTCATTGTGAGACCAAACAGAGAGGCAGGTGTGGAGGGAGGAGAGGAGCTTGGCTGTGGGGCCTGTCCCACAGAGACCTGTGTTTCTGGCAAGTTACAGGCTTTTGTGTATTCTTCCCTGGCATAATGAACATTAAAAAGCACATGGCATCTCTTAGTTCATTCATGTAGCAATTTAGGAAATAAGAATGATTTTAAAAGTTCTTGGCAAATGGACTACCAAAGAGCAGAGGGCCATTAGCCATCCTACCAGCTTTTCAGATATGTCCTCTTCTAAGAGACAGAACATGCCGGCTTTTTTTTTTCTTTTATTTGTAGCATTATTAGGATATAATTCACATCACATTGTGAGCCAGTGCTTGCTAGTGTCTTCAAAGAGTTATGCATTCATCTCCATGAATAGTTTCAGAATCATTTCACTGCCCCACAAAGGAACCCTGCCTCTATTCATCATTCCCTCCCTACCTCAGAGCTTTTCTCCTACTTCCTGTCTCTACAGCCACCTGTTCTGCTGATTTCATATCAGTGAGGTCATACGATATGTGATCCTTTGTGAACGGCCTTTCCCACTTAGCATAATGTTTTCTGGATTCATCAGGGTTTGAGCACGTATCAGTACTTCATTCCTTTTTGTGGCTGAATACTATTTCATCAGGTGGATTAGCACAAAATGTATCCACCCATCAGTTTATGGACCTTTGCATTTTCTACTTCTTGGCTATTATGAATAATGATGCTATGAACATCTGTGTGTGTGTGTGTGTGTATGTGTGTGTGTGTGTGTGTGTCTGTGCTACTAGGGATTGAACTCAGGGCTTTCAAACTAAACTATGTCCCCACCCCTTTTTATTTTTTATTTGGCGACAGGGCCTCACTATGCTATTAAATTGCCCAGCCTGGGCTCCAACTTTCAATCTTTTTATCTCAGCCTGGGCTACCATGCTTGGCAGTACACAGATTTTTGTGTGGGCTTATGTTTTCATTTTTCCCATGTACCTATCTAGGAGTGGAATTGCAGGCTTGCAACCCTGTTTACTAAGATGAAGACCTGCCAGGCTGTTTTCCAGGAGACTGCACTGTTTTACATTTCCACACCAGCAAGATTTCAGGTTCCTAATGTCCGTGTGTCTTTGCCAACACTTATTATTGTCTGCATTTTCTCTGATAGCCATCCTTGCTGTGAAGAGGAGTTCACTGCAGTTCCCATTTGTGTTTTTGTATGCTAATGACATTGAACATCTTTTTATGTGATCTCAGCTTCTTCAAAACATCTAATATGAGCAGGGTATGGTAGAGATTACACTTGTAATCTATTTGTCTGGCAGACAGAGGCAGGAGGACCACAAATTTGAACCCAGCCTAGGCAACTTAATGACTACAATATCTTAAAATAAAAAATAAAGAAGGGTGGGGAGTGAAGTTATTGTGTTTGATTCACAATAACCAACAAATAAACAAAAAGCAAAATATATCTCTGTATGCTGAATGAAGGAAGAAGTGCTATCATATGCTGTCTTAGGGACTCGGGAGGGCCACGCTGAAGGTGGAGGGGGCTGCTGCACCTACTGGAAGCTGGTGGAAGAGTTTTTCCTTCAGCTACTCTGGGTTCCTCTCTCAGTTTTCCACAGACCTGGCCTCTCGACCCACAGACTGTTGTGTGTGCCATTCCTTGTCCTGCACGTGCAGCTCCTGGGACAGCCGGAAGGGACTTTGTTCTTATGTAGGCCTGAGCTCCAGAGGCACTATCTGACTTCTGCCAGAAGTTGCTCCTGTAGCTCCTCACCCCCTACTCTCTCTGCAACACCTCCAGTCTTGATTCTTGTCAAAAGAGTTCATACACTCTTGCAAACTAAAATGATGCTATAAACTGGGAGTGGTTGTGCACACCTGTCATCTCAGCTGTATAGGAGGAGGTTGCGACAGGAGGACTAAACATCAAGACCAGCCTGGCCACTTAGTAGCTTAGTGAGGTGTTGTGGAGTTGGAGCTCAGCGTGAAGGCCAAGATTTCATCCCTAGCATGCCTGTGCATACACTCTCATACCCTACACACATTATTTTTTAAATCAACAACAGTCCATTTGCATTTTGTTGTCTGATTTCTTTGTTAGAATGCAGGCTTCATGGGCAAGAAGACCCTGAACTTGTGATTGTACTCGGCCTTCCTGACACAGAGCAGGCATTAAAACAATTAATCATTAAATGAATCTATGAATTCTTAGTTAGGCATTGAGATTTGCCAAAACACTGAAGGGGCTTTTCCTTTTGTTGTAGCCCAACTATATTAACTTTCTAGAAGTGTCCAAAAAGAGACAGTCGGAAAAAGATGTGGTAGGCCAGGGATTTGGCTCAGCAGCACAGTACCTGTCTGGCAAGTGTGAAGACCTGGGTTTGATCCCTGATACCCCCTCCCCAATGTGGCAAATGTAATAGAAGAGAAGGCCCTATGGTAGAGCAAGCCAGCATGTGCTTGTTGATCCCAAGTCTCAGCATTCTCTTCTATGAAATGGGCATAAGAGTATCTGCCTCCTTGGGAGGGAGTGAGATTTAAATGAGGTATGACATATGCCAAGTTGTAGGTGTGGAGTAAACTGTTTTCATTAGAAAAACTGTTTTGTATTAAGCCACTTCTTAGATCTGAAGTCAGAGCTATATGAAGTTTGTCAGCATTTTGTGTCATGAAGACCTGAGTCTTGCTATTGTTGTGGGCAGTAATAATGGCGGACTGGCAGCTTAGTGCATGGGAAATGAGCATGTTTTTATATCTTCCTTTCTTTATTTCTAAAAATTTACATGCATGACATATTTTTATTGAGAAAACTTTTGATGCTTTTAAGCTTCTCGTGATAAATGGCAATTATACACGTGTCACTGCTGTGTAAAGTGAAATAAAAATGGAGTAAACTTTTTAACACTTTAGAAAAACCTGGAAAATGCCAACTGTTTCCCTGTGCACTGCCCAGGAACAAACCAGGCTCTGGTTGTCAGGTTGACCCCATGTCATCCCTGTGACAACTTCTGATGGCCACATTTGCTATTAGAAAGAGCGCTTATTTGTCTAGGGGCTTTCTGTTGCCTGTACTTGGTTATTACTGTTAAAATAATTAAGAGTGCAGAAACATGCAGCATAAGGAATTGCCTAGTGTGAAATCAAGAGGAAAAAGCCTTCCTTTGAAGAAAGAACAACAGTAAAATACAAGGGGAAGATTTTGCTTTAGGGACATGGCCTCCTCAGGGGAGATTCTCATTTTACTTCTTATGAAGACCAAGTCATCTCTGTGAAGGAGGGTATGAAAGGGATATACGATTCTCAGCCAAGACTCAGATTTGGAATAGATCATCGGGTCAATTTCCTCCTAGAAATTTCATTTAATTCACATATGTGGCCTCGTCTATTCGTAACTCAGTTGTGTCCCAAATTTTCTGATCGAGATTATGGGGCCACAGAGGAATGTGATCGATGATGTAGAATGTGCCTAAGGAGAGTCACATGGAGAGAAAATATTCTCTCAGGCTTTCACAGAGAGCAAATTGGCCAAGCCATGGCCATGACTCATCCACATGGCTGACACTGACAAAGATTCTATAAACAAAGGATCTACAAACTGCAGTACAGGGTTTCAGGGTAAATCCTGAGGGGATTTGACTGACCTTATCAGATACAAAAGCTACATTTCTTGTTATATAGGTCTTGCTTTATCTTGATCTTAACCATCCAGCAGAAAAGCATAAAAACGAAGTATAAAAAGTAAAGCCATATTAATATGCAGAGCTGTAAAAGACTCAAGTCAACAACTTCTTACATTGTCAGTCTTATGGAAAACCCACTACTATTATGGACTACTGGACTATACTGGAATATTTTGCTGAATTCACACACCTATAATATTTAAATGACAATGGAATAACTATCTCTGACAAAACTAAACAAAAAGGGGATATAAATGAACCACCATTTTGTACTGTATATTCAAAATAGGATAGATATACAGCTACATTCTCTTAATTCAATAACTAGAAAGGTTTGTTCTAATAGTGGTTCTGCCAAAAAAAAGAATTAAAAATATATATAAATAAATTTAAAATAAAATTTTAAAACTATAAAAAAAACCTTCTTTTCTCACTTGGAACACAGAGAGATAGTTTCCTAGAGTTGCTGCAAAAATTCAGTGAGTTAATTCTTGTAAGATGCTGCTGCTCCACACTTACAAAGTTCTCTGGAAGTGTTGGCTGCTCACCCACCGGCTTGCTTGTGTCCTGCAGTCTTTCCTTAGACAGTTACATTGTACGGAGAACATTGCTCTTCCTCTTTCTATCCTGGGGGACTGGAACCACTTGCCTCTGCTTTTCTTTCTAGTAGAATGAAGAGTGACTGCTAAGGATTGTAGGGGTTCTTCTTGGAGTGATAGAATTTCTCTGGAGTCAGAAGCCAAATATTTGGAGAACTTCACTATATATCTGAGCCCGGTACTTATTGATGTTTTCTAGAGGAATAGGACCTCTAGAATGGCATGTGGAAGAGAATGGCATGAGTCCAGATCTGTCTATCTGAAAGTGTGTTTCTTGACACGGCTTCCCATAAAGGGCTCAGGGAAAAGCTAGTTCCACCATGAGGTTGCAAGACACAGAATCTCACACCTTCTCTCCCAAAGTATGCTGGGCTTTAGTATATATATGAAAGGTTCTGAGAAGTCCTGGAGGAAAGGGATTGGGTTGTGGCCCCTTCCGCTGCAGGTGCGGGTCCTTCCAGGTCATTCCATGGACGCTCCTCTGAGAGTTGACCTCTGAGCAGGGTGGGCAGGTTCTCCAACCTCCTGGGGTCTCTAAGTTTCTGTGTTTTCTTTCAGACGGATGTTCCCTGTCCTGAAAATTAGTGTCACAGGACTGGACCCCAATGCTATGTACTCCCTCCTGTTGGACTTTGTCCCTACGGACAGTCACCGCTGGAAGTACGTCAACGGGGAGTGGGTACCCGCGGGCAAGCCTGAGGTCTCCAGCCACAGCTGCGTCTACATCCACCCCGACTCCCCCAACTTCGGGGCCCACTGGATGAAGGCTCCCATCTCCTTCAGCAAGGTGAAGCTGACCAACAAGCTGAACGGAGGTGGGCAGGTACGTGCCACCTCCCCACAGCGCCAATCAAGAAATAGCAAGGGTGCATTTAGGCAATTAGAGGGGTCCTCACCAACCTCTTCTCCCACAGAGGCCAATTATTCCCTGGAGTCCAAATGTAAACAGGAATAAACAGCTCTTAATTGGTGCTTTCAGTTTTTAATGGACCTCCTGATGTGAAGCGAAAGAGAGAGTGTGCTGTTGTTTACTTAATCATCAGGCTCTTTTCATAGTTATGTCTTGTGTGCTTTTTACCAGGCCCCAGGAGGGAAATGTTTGTGGTACCAGGGTTTTGTTATTCTCTCTCCCCTTTTCTGGTGTAAGTGGCATGTTGGCAGTAGACAACTACCTTAATAAAAAGCTGCTCCTAAATGAAATAATTACTTCCTCTGCTTGGGCATTATGATAATTATCAATAGAATATTGAATCGGCTTTGGTTTTTCAGAAAAAAAAAATCCAAACAAACCTTAAATAAGGCAGGTCTTATTAAAGGTCTCTAATTACAGTAAACATGATGTAGTGGCTTTTTCCTCTTGGTTTCTGTGGTAGCGTGTGGACACTAGTCTCCTGCCCAGGTTGTTCGGTCTCATAAAATAGAGGCCGTTGGGGGATCAGAGACATGGCTGAGAGGAGGGGCCTTGATTTGCTTCTCTGTGCCACGCCTTTGGCTTTTTTGGGACCATTGTCACGGGCTTGGACCTTCTCTGTTCTTTCACTGCTTACTGGCCAGGGAGCAGGAGTCTCTGTTTTGTAGGAGAGGCAAAGAATGCCATGGGAGTCTGCGATTCCAGAAGGTTCTAGCAGTTCTTTATTAAAAGTTGAAAAGTATATTGTTAATGTCCGTCAGACTTCACAGCATGAGGCTTCCAGTAGCCTTTCATTTGAATCTAAGGAGCGGATTATGTCGCACCATTGAGGGTCGGGTCTCCTCAGTCACCAGTGAAATGCAGCCACCATTTTGAGTTATTCCTCATATGAAACAGAACATGTGGTTTAATGGATTGAAATATACATGTGTTGAAAATGGAAGGAAGAAAATGGAATGCAGAACGCAGAACCCTTAGGAACAATGCCTCTCTGCTAACGCCCCCAACCCCTGTGTTAGTCTCAGTGTTCTGCTCCTGGGAACTTTTGAAAAATGTTTTCTCATTGATTTCTCAGTGATGTAGAGACAGCTCAGGGGACCTGGGACTTCACCTGTGTCCCTAATGGGTGGGCAGGAGCTCAGCACAGGTACTGGTGATCCTGTCAGCTGTCATTCGCTAGGCTTGGCTTCTCTGCATCTCTGTTGCCCTCTTCAACAGATAATGCTGAGTTCTCTGCATAAGTACGAGCCCCAGGTCCACATAGTACGTGTCGGGGGTGCCCACCGCATGGTAATGAACTGCTCCTTCCCCGAAACCCAGTTCATTGCTGTGACTGCCTATCAGAATGAGGAGGTAAGTGTGTGTGACTCTGTGTGTGTGTGTGTGTGTGTGTGTGTGTGTGTGTGTGTAGCGTGGCAGAAGGGGCAGGGGGACTCTTTACTGCTGTGAACAAGAATGGATGAAAGACACATGTCCCATGATTTAGATACTCTCCGCAGTGCTGAAGTTAAATAATGGGCAGTTGGTCTTCTCTCACTCTTCTAGCTTTTGCCAAAGGCCCATTTGTTCATTAACTTTTTTTTTTTTTTTTTTTAAGACATGGTTCAGCTATGCAATTGTGGCTAGTCTCACTTTGTAGCCCAAGCTGGCCTTGAACTTGGAGTGGTTTTCCTGCATCAGTCTCCCAAGTGCTGGGGTTATAGATGTGTGCCACCCTGCCCAGCCTGTTCACCACTTTATATGACTACTGCCAATGCCTGATATGATCCACTCAGGAAGAGCAAGGGTTTCTTTTGGCCTGCAGTTTTGCTTCTGGGCTCACGGCAAGGCAGCACATCATGGCAGGTGCAAAACCACTTAAGTCTTGGTCAGGGAGCAAGGAAGAATGGGTATCAGCTGTGTACTGTGGGGCCGGCCTGTAATCCCCGTTACTTGGGAGGCTGAGCCAGGAGGATTGCAAGTTCAAGGCCAATCTGGGCAACTTAGTGAGACTCTCAAAAATTAAAAAGGGCTGGGGATGTAATTCAGTGCTTGCCTAGCATGATGAGTTCTAGGTTCAGTACATAGAACATGCTGCCCCCTCCTTACAGAAGCGTGCCAGTGGGCCCAGGTTCCATGTTCTCTTGTAAGAGCAGCCCCCCTGCCAAGGGTGGACCTACTGTATGGACCCTTTGGGACACGGAGGAGCAGACAGCCAGTATGTGCTCTTCTGGTATGGAAAAGACACACTGAACGCAACTCGCAAGTTCCGTTAAACCTCAGGAATCTTTGTGGGGTCCCAAAGGGCCTATGGCCTGCGCAGAGCTGGGTGAATCTGGCGTGGGTATAACCTACTCCCTCTTGCTTTGGAAACAAGTCTACGGAAGTTGATGCAAAAACACACCCTCATATGGGGGGTTGTTACGTGATGTGTCTTGTTTGTTTTTTATTTCTGAGCACTGTCAGTCTTTTTGTGCACTTTAACTTAACTTTGTGGCTGAGTAGTCAGAATTCAGGGCATGAACTGGGTGTGGTGGGTTTGAGAGACAGAGGTAGGAGGATCTCCAATTATTGCCCAGCCTGGGCAACTTAGCAAGACCCTTTCTCAAAAAATAAAATATACAAAGGATGGAGAAAATAACTCAGTATAAATTCTCTGGTTAAATTTCCAGTACTACATCATATAAACAAACAAACAAACAAACAAATAAATGAATATACAAACTTCATTGTCTTGCCTCTCTGTGGACTGGCTTGGGTTTATTCATGTTCTCAAGGGGTTCCTAGGCCTGCTGACCCCTAGGGACACCTAGGAAAAATTAGATTGTTTTAAAAAAATTAAACTTAAAAAAATTAAACATAGTATGTATTTACTTAAAAAGGATATGGTAGACTAATATCACAAAAGTATTGAAAGAGCTCAGGATCTTGCTGACATAAATATTCTCTTCAGTATTTATTTATTCAACAAATACTTATTGGGTATCATTCCGGATGCTGGGGGATTGCAAAAATTAAAACAGATGAGCCCTGTTCTCAAGGTACTTCCATGCCACTGAGGGCAGATGGAAAACGATAGTCTGTACCTATCTCTGTTCCGTCCCTGTTCCTGTTTCTGTGTTTGTCTCTGTCTCAGATAGCTCTGCTGAGAAACAAAGCAGGCTAAGGCTAAGAGGGCTGGGTTGTGTGTGCATTGAGTGACGACTTGGTATTTGTATGAGTGGTCCAGAAGGTGATTAAGAGTAAAGTCGTCAGAGCCAGACTGTCCGCTCCATCAGGGGTGTGATCACAACCAGAGTAAGCTGTGTTCTGAGCGACAAGAGAAAGAGCTTGCGTATAGTCAGTGCTCGGTGATTACTGAAGAGTGCACAAAAGACTCAGTGCCAGGTTTGTACAGGACAGCTTTGTTCATTTCTAATGCTTTGTTGGTTCTGTGTTCACTTCAGGTGCCACTTTGCATTTTTTGAATTTTTGAGACAGGATTTCCCTTTGTAGTTCAGACTAGTCCTGAACTCACCACGTAGCCCGGGCTGGGCTCCAGCTTGCTGCAATCCTTCTGCTTCAGCCTCCCCCATGCTGAGATTACAGGCATGTGTCACCCTGGTTGGCTGTCACCTATCATTGTACTATGAACTGTAATAAGATATCCTTTGCCAGAGATAGTGCCTTAGTGATTTAGTGCAAGAGTAAATGAAGAAACATGGGGAGAAAGAAAAAAAAGAGGTGAGGAAGTTACCCTATTTTACAGAAATTTGCAGAAGAGGATGGAGGGCTCTGTTTGTCCCTTAGTGTCCCAGTTCACTAACACTTCTTGTCTTTGCATATGCAAGATCACAGCTCTCAAAATCAAGTACAACCCTTTTGCCAAGGCCTTCTTGGATGCCAAGGAAAGGTGAGTAGAGAAATTTCAGGAGAATCTTGTGACTTGACCTCTGCAGTATGAAATTTATGATCTTCCTAGAAAGACGTAGCCTAGTGGTGCTTGCATTACTTTTATTAGTGTCTGATTCAGTATTCAACCAGTGATCAATAAAATTAACAAAATTAAAGCCCACATTATAAGTGTTCCAAGTAACAGAGGTTCAGAACTTTGAGCTGGCAAGATGTTGAACTGGCCCCAAAATAAATATTTCAGATTTATTTTTCTCAAGATTTTTGAAAGTAGCACAACCACATTAAAAATGATTTAAACTTTTAGGAATTCACTTGCCCTTTCTCCATCACCTCAGTAATATGATTTTAATTTTATTTATTTAGTTATTGGATACAGGGTCTCACTACGAAGTTCAGACTCATAGTCATCCTCCGGTCTCTGTCTTCCCAGTGCTGGGATTACAGGCATGTGCCACCATGCTTTTTTTTTTTTTTGACTAATTCAGCATGGGACCTTCACAGCATATGATACTGGGGGTTGAACCCAGGTCCTTGAGCTTGCCAGGCAGGAGCTTAGACCACAAAGCTATCTTTCCAGCCCAATAACATGATTTTAATAAGCTGTGATTTTCTTTTTGTTTTATTTTAAAAAAACCAACTCTTACCCCAGAAGAAAAGGTAAGTAGTGACAGAAGGTTCCTGTTTCCCAGGTTGAGAACAACAGAGACTTCTAGGAGAACAGCAGAGACTTCTGGGGCCTGAATGGTGACCTTACTATTTTGGGCCACTGACCAGCCATCTCCAGTTTTCTTTTTCATTCTAGGGCAAGATGAAAAATACTGGGGCTTATTGTTGACATTTTATTGGCAAGGCTTATTAGACTGTAAATATGATTATTTTTTATTGTTCAGTTTTTTTTGGCCTGAATTTTGAATCTTGTCACGTGTGTGTGTGTGTGTGTGTGTGTGTGTGTGCGTGCGCGCGCAGGGTCTCACTAAGCAGCTTGAACTTATAATGATCCTTCTGTTTTCAGCCTCCACAGTGCTGGGATTACAGGTGTGCATTACCACGCCTGGACTTGGTTGCCAGCTTAGTACACCCAGCGGCAGGGTTGATGCTGCATGTGATGCCAGGAATTGAACCCTAGCCCCTGTGCTTGCCTAAGCAGGTGCTTAGTCTGCTGAGCTATCTTGCCAGCCCTTGTTACTTATTTTTATATCTACCTATTCTCCTTTTTTTTTTCTGAAAGGATCTTAATTAATAGATGTTTGTAATGATTTGTCGCAGGGATCTATCCTGTATTTTAATAAATATAGATGTTATATATGCAAAAATTTTCAAATAACAAAAATTGTAAAGTACAAGTGCATAAGTAAGATGACAAAATCTAGAGTCAAAATGATAGTAGCATGATATAATAACAAGAATTCAGAGCTTTCTGTAAGACATCCTGAACAAGTCCTGACCTTGCTATTTCCCAGCTGTTTCATCTTGCATACGTCAGTGTACTTTGTGAGATCTACTTTTCTAATTTTCAGGGTGGGTATAGCAATATTTCCCTTATAAGGTCATTGGTGGACCTGGCATATCACAGATGTAATTGTGGTCCCAAAGTCCTGTGCAAATATTAGCTGTTGTTACTACTGCTTGAATATTGTCAGGTAGGAGCAATAATCGGTAGACTGCAAGATCAAAGCCAACAGAGGTAGTTATAAATGTAGGAACAAGGGTAGCAGCAAATCTTCAACTCTCAGAGCAGTTGCATGAGTAGAAACTGTCCTGGAAAAGGTGGTAGCTTTGAGACAAAAGGTATTTGGTGTTCTTATTGCATGTAGTTTACTGCTTTTCAAAGAGAATTTGGGGTGTGCTTCATACTGGATTTGTACAATAAGCTGTAACTTCATTACTTTTTCAGAAATCATCTAAAAGATGTCCCGGAGGCAGTCCCTGAGGGCCAGCCTGTGGCCTATTCCCACTGTGAGTTGGGGGATTTGGGGTGGGCAGGGTGTGGGGTCTAGCCTTCAAACTTTTGCCTTCATGGCTGCTTAGGCCCTGGGCCAAATCAAGACCCCACAGGTTATTTCTTCCACCTAAGACATAATTAGGTCCTTCCCAGGGTTCTAGAGAAAGGCAGAATTATTCCTAGGCTTAAGGGCTCCAACATATGTTGGCAGGAGGCAGAAATGGTAGCATTTAATTGGGCCTTGTTTTCACATGAGTGAAGCTGAGTGCTCAAAAGCACATTCTGGGCTTATCTCCTACCTTCACACTTGCTGTTCTGGATTTTCCCCTGTTTGCAGTATTTGCAGTTTTTGGCATTGGTCACCATGGCAGTGTCTCAGAGAGACTGTGGCCTGGCACATCAGAAGAGTCTGCCATTGTTGCCTGGCAGACCACAGGGAGAGTTGGAGCAGGGCTGGGGATTCTGCAGGTAGAGCTGAAGGTCTCCAGCAGGTTCTACTTTCCCCACCTCCTTCTGGGGGAGGGAAGCCCCTGGAGCTGAAATAGGAACCCCTGGCCAGTGACATCAGAATAGCAGAGTGAACTCTGGCACACTCTTTGCTTTGTATCATAAGATTGTGGCTAAGATCCCTGCTGCAGTT